TGTTCCAAGCAGCAGAGGCGCCCTCTGTGTGGAAGAGGTTGAAGGTCTGCTGGAGCATCTCGTGGAGGACAGAGATGGTCTGGACCTTCTGCAGCTGACTGCTGTCCACCATCTCCTGAGGGATTCTGAAGTCCTTTCTGTCCTTCAGACAGAAGAAAGGGGAGAGTCTCCTCATTTGGCCCAAAAGCACAAAGGTCTTCCTACTAGCCAGGATGTGGTTCTGAGAGAGATCACAGCCCAGGGATGGAACAGGGCCATAGCTGAGCATCACCAGTGCTGTCAGTAGAGAGAGCAGGAGGGCCATTGGGAGAACTGAGGATACTGCTGTTCTGTCTGAGCTGGATGTCTGGTTCAACCTTGGATCCTATGTTCTATGAAGACAACCTGTCTATCATGACTTTTATATAGAAAACACTACTGTTTCATTTTCTAAATGTTGTTCTAAAGTTTTACTTCTGTTTTTTATTTCAATTTGTATGTTCTTGATATGACATAATACAGCTGTCTTATTATTTAAAGCTCCTATAATAGAAATGGAATCCTGGTGTGGCATTGTAGGGCAAAAAATAGACTGCTAGTCAAAAAGTCAGTGGTTCAAACCCACCCACCGCTCCTAGGCACCCCTCTACATGGTCGTCGTTGATTGGAATTGACTCAACTAGAGAACAACAACAACATAACAGAAATAGCACTAGTGTTCGGCTTCAAAAACCAGAAATGTGTTCTTTCAGTTTAAGAGGCTAGTAGTCCCAATTCAGAGCGCTGGTTCTTCGGGAATACTCTGTTTGTTGAGTGCTCCTTGGAGATCCTCATGCATCTCGGCATCAATCTCCCTCTGGGTCTCGAAGCTTCACAGCACAGGGACCCAGGTCTACAGGACACACTTCACTCCTGACTCTTCCATCATGGTGGTAGCGCGTCCTTCTTTCTTTTCTCATGTCTCTCTCCTTTTATCTCTTGTAAGATGAAAGGCGTTACATACCATACTCTAGGATCACATGGTAGTGATATTAAAGGAGGTGTGGCAGTGTGGGATGGACACTGGACTGCTGACCACAGGGCCTGTGGTTTGCACCTGCCAGCTGCTCTTTGGAAACTCTGTACAGAATCCTTATGAGTTGGAGCTCATTGGATGGCACTTACCAACAACATCGTCCAAACCTTATTCCACTCATTGTTTTATGACACCAAATCACATCATGTGGCATAGCTACATCTCAATTGCCAAATCATTGCAATTTGACACAAAACCTTAACCATCTCAGGGGCCAAAAACAAAAAAACAGTTATGTAGTCGATTTTAAGCCATAGCAAACTCATGTAGCGTTTCAGAGGTTGTACATCTTTACAGAAGCAAAGATCCTCTTTCTCTCCTGAAGAATGGCTGGAGCATTTGAACTGCTGATCTTTCAGGACTAAAATCTTAAATTTTCAATAGAAGTTTAACTTTCCTAGTACACTTCAGATGTTCCAATGAAAATGGAGACTTATAAGAAACATCTTTGTCACATAGGCAAAAATAAAAAAATACTCTTACAGCACACACACTCTCTCTCTGTATAGATAGATAGATACATAGATAGATAGATAGATAAAGATAGATAGATAGAGAAAGAGAGAGAGAGAGACATATAGACATAGGGTAGCTCTGATGGATAAGTAATGAACAGTGAATCACACGATTAGTGATTTGAGCCCACTGGCTACTCTGTGGGAGAAAGATGAAGCTTTTTGCTTGTGCAAATATTTACAGTCTGGGAAACCCTACATAGGGTCGCTATGAGTTGCAATAAACTGGCACAATATATATGTTGTTTGTTGTTAACTGCCATCAAATCCATTCCAATTCATAGCTACCTGTATAGGTTTTCTGAGGAGACATTGGTGAGTTCCAACCACCAACATTGTGGTTCAAACAGGCCTTACTGTGCAGTGCATTATCCAGCAGCCCCATAAATATGGATTCCTGGTGTAGTGCTGTAGGATAAGCGCTGGCTTGCAAGCCACAAGGTATGTGGTTCAAACCCACCTGCTGCTGCTTGGTATCCCTGTACAGGGTCCCTATGAGTCAGAATAGACTCAATGGCACTAAACAACAACAACAACATATATATATATATATATATATATG